AGACTTTAGCACAGTGCTACCACAATAGCAAGGTGTCGTTTCCATCTTATTCATGACTCTCCAGTGTCCATGCTTTTCACGCCTTTTTTTTCCTATCTTTACTCATGAACAACTTTACGTTACCGATTCGTTCACGGTCCTTTTATGGCTTATGGATATTCATCGAGAGCCAAAGCAGCTAACACGATTTGAGATCTTTTGAATTTAGCATCTTAAATGTGCTTAAATGTCGTACACAAAGAAATTTTTTAATCCGCTTTTGTAGTTAGTGTTAGTAGCTGAATATATTTCACATAGTCTAGCCACAAGTAACTTTAGATAGACATTCAATTCCAATTTTTAATTCTAAATTAACATTTTATATTCAATGTCTTATCCTGCGAGTGCCATCAGTTGTCCGCTAATTATAAAGCTGCAATTAAAAATAATTATAACTTATCAAATCTAAGATATAGTTTGACAAATTTTTACTAAAATTTAAACTTTTAATGAAACTTCTTTCGAAGATGCCTTATTGTTTGCTTCATTTCAGTAATGAATGCATTTAAAAAAATGACAATAGAATTTACTGTAAAAATCTGTTAAAATTTGGTCTACAATATTGAAATTATAATTATAGTTAATAAATAATTGAAGTTATAAAAATAATCGAATAAAAGAATAAAGTAAAAAAGACTTTTTTTAAAAAAAATGATATCAGTCTATTTTCCAATAGAAATTTTGAAACTGGATAGTTTTAAATTAAATAAAATTTAATTAAAATGTAGGCCCTATATTTAGTTTCATTTTCATTTTAACCGTAGCAAAAAAAAAAAAAATTCTTTCTACATTTATTCTGGAAAATTATTACATTTTGAAGTTTAAAAAGTACAGGTAAAAATTAAATATTTGTGTATTGTCTAGCTGATAAATCTTAGAAAATATTGAATAGAAACTTTTCCCAGACAACTCAGGTTATAATGAATGCCAAACATAAAAAGAAATTGGTTTAAAATTGAAAATACCCAAATCTTCCAAAACATTTCAAAAATATATTGGTTTTTACTATAATACTGAATGATCACTATTGTTACAGACACCTCATTCGTGAATATTCTCGAGTAATAAGATAATTAATTAAAATTTTTTATATATTGTTTTATAGTTGCATTATTGTATGGTAATATAAAAATCTTCTTGAAATAAGTATCAGTGCATGCATCAGTGAATTTGAATGTTTTGAGTTCATAAAGTCGTAATTAACTAAACTGTTAAAGAAGGTCTGACTTTAAAATTGAAAAAGACTATCATGGTTTACTTCTCTTATTCAATTTTATTAAGCTTAATGTTGCAAATAACTTTGGAAAATTTTCACGAAATATAACAAATGGTTTTTCGTAAATAACTAAATAAATGTTTATTGTAATATTAAGTTACTAAAGTCAATTTTTTTAGAACAACCTAAAGTTTAACAAGCAAATCGAGAACACCGATTAAAGAGAAAGAAAAACAATTAAACTGCTGCAATTTTACATTATGTCAATTGCAGACAATTGAATTACATTCGCATTAATCATAAGAAGAGTATCGAGAACGAAATGCCATTGTATTAATTTATTATTTTAAAATAATGTTAAGGTAATATGTAATATTACAAATGTTAAGAATACAATAATTAAACTAAAAAGAAAGCTGATCACAAGCACAGATGAATTTAACGTCCGTTCCACATATGTCCAGTCTGAAAGGTGGAAACCTTTCTCTCCACTATCCCCTGACCAAGCTATTCCTTCTCCTTCGTGACTCTCAGTTCCCCGAATTCCTGACGATCGCAGATGCGAAGTTAATGGGGAGGGGTGCTAATGAGTAGCAGATTTTAAACTCTGCTTACATAATATATCAAGNTAAGTTACTACAGTCAATTTTTTTAGAACAATCTAAAGTTTAACAAGCAAATCGAGAACACCGATTAAAGAGAAAGAAAAACAATTAAACTGCTGCAATTTTACATTACGTCAATTGCAGACAATTGAATTACATTCGCATTAATCATAAGAAGAGTATCGAGAACGAAATGCCATTGTATTAATTTATTATTTTAAAATAATGTTAAGGTAATATGTAATATTACAAATGTTAAGAATACAATAATTAAACTAAAAAGAAAGCTGATCACAAGCACAGATGAATTTAACGTCCGTTCCACATATGTCCAGTCTGAAAGGTGGAAACCTTTCTCTCCACTATCCCCTGACCAAGCTATTCCTTCCCCTTCGTGACTCTCAGTTCCCCGAATTCCTGACGATCGCAGATGCGAAGTTAATGGGGAGGGGTGCTAATGAGTAGCAGATTTTAAACTCTGCTTACATAATATATCAAGAGTCGTGTTTATATAAATATTTATATTAAATAAAAAAATTAAACCATTTTATTTTTCTCTAACAACAACAATATATATTAGGTTCAACTTAATACATATTAATGAAAACTCCAGGACGAGAATAAAAATTAAAATTTACATGTTTAGAAGGAACACTAAATTGCAGTAAAAGTACTATATATTTGCAATTCCTGTATGCCTCTTTCACACTTCAGGATTGCATAATGTAATTCAAGGAGGGTTATGACAAAATCGATCTTTATTTTAGTTAATATTCTCGTCCGTCTCAATACGCAAAGCATATGCAGATTTTCTGTCGACTCTGTTATAGCCCTCCTCGGACTACATTATGTAAACCTGAGGTATAAAAGAAAGAATTGTGAAAACACTTTTATTTTAATTTAGTGTTCCTTCTGAACTTGTGAATTTTAATTAATACGTAGTAATTCTTTCTTTCCCTTTCAATAAATACTGTATTAATGAATTCATATTTATCAATAAGTTCATTATTACTGAATTTTGTTTTTATTAGAATTCATGACATTTAAGATTGCTCCTTATTAAATAATATTTAGAAATGATAATTCAAAATGATAAGTGAACTATTTCTTTCACTAACACTTTCTATTTATTAATTTTAGTGTATGTCTAATAATAATAAATCAATCAAATATAACAAATTCTTATGTTGAAATAGTGTATGATTAAAATAGCCTATGAAAATATATAAATTATTGTAAAGATTTATTATTCTACTATTTTTGTGATAATAAACTACCTTCTAAATCAGTGGTGTCCATTTTTTTGTTTTTTTTTTTTTGTTTCTCTGGGCCACATTAAAAGAAGTCATGGAGTTTTGGGCCACAAATATATTGTAGCCCAATCCTTAAATGTACAAGTATATTTAAGGATTAACATGTCTAGATTATAGTAATAAATATTAAAACTTTATAATGAAAAAGGATATTTTTAAAAATTAGTTTTACAGACACTTTCAATTTTTACTTGGAAATAGATAAATTCATGTATTATAAAAGAGACAAACAAAAATTTATTTGAAAAACACAAATATTTGTTTTATTTGGGTCTCTAATTAATAAAAAACGACAAAACACCATTTTAAAGTGCATTTTATTCAACTAATATATTTATAAATAATATGTAGTCCAAAAAGTAGCCTATGCGCCAAATGATATTTTTTACACCAAACTAAAAAAGGGTAGCCAAATTTGGCGCAAAGTAGCCAAATCTTGCAATGCTGGAAGGAATACGAAATAAAGCTGGAGTTGCGATTCAAAGGATTATAGACCCAAATGCGAGGAAAGGAGAGAAAAGACAAAAGATAAAGAAGTGAGGAAGGTCGGAAAATTAAGGGTCAATATTAGCATAATAGAAGGTCTATTTAACTTTTCTCACTACTTTTTATCTTTTGGTTTCTCTTCTTTCCCGAATTTGGTTCTATAATCCTTTGAGTCATAACTTTAGCTTTATTTAGTATTTCTTCCTCATTCATACATTTCCAAGTATTTGAAAATAGTTCCTTTCCACTCAAACATAAAATATGTATAAAGGTTTACGGTTTTTGTGAAACGTCTTTTTTGAGTTTATGCCGTTGAAATGAATAAATAAAAATAAAATTTAGAAAATTTGTCTGTTTTGTTTACACGTTTATTGGGCCGCATTGAAACTTGCCTTGGGCCGCGGGTTGGACACTCCTGATCTAATAATTAAAATATTATTGCTAATTGAAATTTTTTAGTGATTTGATACGTGATTTTCCACTTAGAAGTCATTTTAATTTATTCCTAATATACATAAACAGCCCGAAGTTTCTTTAATATTATATATTATGTGTTACATATAACAGCTTGTACGTATTTAAATGTATACTATAAATATATATTTTGTTAATATAATGTATATATAGCCTATATCAACTTGTTTAATGAGTAATCATCAAATATAATATGATTATACAATATATATATGATTACTCATTAAACAAGTTATAATCGTATTACTTGAACATAAAAAATGCCGGTAGTATATTAACATGAGTATCAGTAAGAAACAAACGAATTATATGAAAAGAAATACGTTCAATGAGTTTAATCAAAACTACGAGTAGAATCATAACAGTGAATAACTAATAACATTTAAACAAATGTTTCCGATTTGTTTAATGAGTAATCATCAGATTTCAAGCGCAAGATATTTTAACATTGGAATCAGATAAAGAATAAACGCATTGCAAAAATTTGAATTATAAATATAAGTAAATAATAAATTAAATAAATAAAGGCTCAGCAGTTTCGCGCCAGATCAATGGGTTGGCCATGTCTGACATTAAAATAAGGCTCAGCTTTCCGGAGAAAATTCTTCTCTAGCACATCGTTTTCGTATTGGTTGCATTGACCCATAAACTAAAGCAATTTATATTAAAAAATTAAATTTACAATTTAAACTTATTTGACTTGGCAATTTTTATCAAATAAATTTACGATTTTTTTATGCAATTTTTAAATAAAATATTTATTAGATTTTTACATCTTGTAATTTTAATTTTATAACTTAAAAGTAGTTTATATTAAATTAAAATTATTTTTCAAACAAAATCAAAATAATCTTTCTTATATTTCAGATGAACATGGTAGAAACAGACTCAAACCAATTGGGTTTACACGAATCTTTGAATATTGAGCGTTATTTTATTCAAAAGTTAAATATGAAATGGAACCAAGAACTTTGGCCGTATACAATTTATTGGTCTTGTGTGTATTTAATAGTAATCTTTTCTTTGCAAAACTATATGAAATCAAGATCACCTTTTCGTCTTAAAGAACCTCTTGTCATCTGGAATCTAATATTAGCTGCATTTAGTATTTGTGGCACTATAAGGATGGTACCTGGTTTATGGATTTTGATAAAAGATTTTGGATTTACATTTTCTGTTTGCAATATTAGTTACGCAAAGATATATCATCCAGTACCTCTTTGGATCTTTTTATTTGTATGGTCTAAAGTTATCGAATTCGGCGATACAATTTTTATCGTACTTCGAAAGCAGAAATTATTGTTTTTACATTGGTATCATCACATCGCAACTCTTATTTTTACTTGGTACAATATTGCCAACGAGGCATCAACGGGATATTGGTTTTGCACCATGAATTTATTTGTGCATAGTTTTATGTATTCATATTACGCTATGAAGGCAATGAAATTAAACGTTCCTCGTTATGTTTCAATGATTGTAACTACGATGCAAATTACACAAATGTTTATTGGTTGTTTTGTCACATTTTGGGCAGCTTTGAAGTATTATCAAGGCGAATATTGTGAACAGAGTTCATATACTATTCTATTAGCAGTTGGTTTATACTTGTCTTACGTATTTTTGTTCTGCCGTCTTTTCTATAAATTGTATATTCATAAAGATGAAAAGTTAGGCATGACGAAGAAAAGTCATTAGTTACGTTTAAATTTTTAAACTTCGAACTCATTTTTTTATTTTTAGAATCTACTTTTAAAAAAAGTTATTTGTTTTTTGTTTTGTTTCGTGGATAAAAGCGAGTTCATAGAACTAATAATTCAGTTTAGTAAAACTTTTCTGATTTTTATCACAAATTCTTTAAATGTATTGTAAAAAACTGTACATTTTAAATTGATAATTATTTCAAAATTATAAACTAATAATTTAAATTTAAAATTGTTAGCTTAGTATTGCTTAGTATTTTATTTTCATGACAAAATAAATACTAAGCAATTGTCTCTGTTTTAATTTTTGAAACTTATTCTAAATTCATTAGAAAACATTAATATATTTTTATCCAGTTTTACATATACAGTCGACCCCCCTGTAACACTGTTGAATATTCCGTTTTATATGAATTCCATGTTGTACAAGTCACTTAGATTTTACAAATACGTGTGCCGGACTGTGAAAGGCTCACGTATTTGTAAATTCTAAGTCACTCGTACAACATGGAATTCATATAAAACGGAATAATCAACAGTGTTATAGGGGGTCGACTGTAATTACTTTCACATTTGCTAAATAAAAGTGCATTTTTATTTTATGTAGGTTAGATTATCATTTAAGTACATTTTACCCGCTGTAAAATTTTATAATTTTATTATTTGAGATTAATCCGAACACTTCATATATTTAATTAAAAACATATTTTATATCAGGTATAAATGAAATTATTATTGTATGAAATTATGACATAGTAACTTTTATATTCATTTATATTTAAACTAATATTTTATAAGCATAGTAAAATTCGTGATTAATATAAATTTTGTGTCTATAAATAAAACGTATGTTTTTACATAATTTGAAATAATTAAATTAATTGTAATAATACAATGGTTATAATATTTTAAATAGAGAGTTCAGAAGAGGAGATAATTGCACGAAATTGATAATGTTACAGTAGAACAAGCTTTCTGTAACTTTTCATAGTTCATTTTCAGTAACATTTTTAGTAACTTTTCATTGTTCTGTTCAGCAGAAAAGCTCTGCTGTAACTGCATTAGAATTTGTAAGGGACTGCACAAAGATACGTATGACAAGTTGGAAATTTGTTATTCATGAAATTACATTAGCAAAATTGTTAAAACTAAAATTACTGAAGGACCAAAAATAGGAAGAAAAATGATCATTATTCTGGAAGATGGGAAAAACTCAAGTGAGAACAGGTTAAGATAAATGAATGAAGATATTTGTTGGCATCGTTTTGTGTTAAATACAGTCATTCAACCAAAATTCCACTCTAATAGATAATAATTTTACTCATATATCTCTTATTTGCTATACTAAGAGAATCGAGCTATTACGGTGTCATTGTCACTCTAGACACTGATTGCAGCAGTTAGATGTTTCAATTTTTTTAACCTCTAAAATTCATACTGCAGAGACTTTGTTTATGTAAACACAACTCTATCGGAAAATCATTCTGCGAGATATTCCTACATTATATAATAAAGCTTAATAAAAGGCAGCTGAAATTCAAAAAATTGTATCATCGTTTGAAAAAACACACACAAACACTTAAATTTCTCTTTTAAATTCTTATGGTTTTTACGAAGATGATTTCTTATAAATACAAAGGAAGAATTGAGTGAAATCAACCAGGAAGTTAACAAATTTGTAAAGTTCTGGTAATTGTCGAGATAGCTGTACTGAAGATACTGAGAATGTTCTAAACATTTAATCAAAACAATAGAAGTTTTGCAAAGTGCAAAAACAAAAACACAGTCTCAGATAATAACATTAAATTCTAAGAAAACAATTCTTCTAGAGAAAGCCCAGAAAATAGACAAAACTTGGAGAAAGGGAGAGAGAAAAAAAACATTCGTATTATTAGCATAGAACAGAAGATAAAACTACAGAATGAAAAGGAAAGAAAATATTATCTAAAGCCTTTCAGACACGGAAACAGATGATGCCACTCATCTTTACTGTTATGAAGATTTCTGAGAAAATTTCAACACATATCTCAGATAAAGTTCGCCTTTCTGTGGACAGTTCAATAGAAATGACGATCCATGGTATCGCTGTGCTTTGTTCTGGATGCTAAGTGTAATGCAGCAGGTATTGTAGTAAATTTTAAGTGTGATAACTATAGTTATTAATCTGCTATTTTTTGGTGGCATATACATTTTATTATTGCTATAATGTTTGTTTACAAATATGCTTGTAAATAATATAATGTTTTTAAATAATTTGTGTACTAAATTTTATGGGTATTTTCTCATATACTGTAATTTTCTATAAGAATTCCACACCTAAGTGTTGAACTACTCTAAATGAATGGATAATGGTACGCTTTACCATTTTTCATTTGTTTCCTTTTAAACTCGTCTGATTAATAAATTTTGTGTTAATTTTTCTTGTTGTTATTACTATAACTATTATTTGTCTCTGATCAACCTGCCATAGTTAAACAATAACAAATTGTCTTTTTCACCGCAGTTAAAAAGTCAATTTATAATCATGCGATTTCACCGTTCTCTTCTTAGTTTGAAAACTTATAAAAACTTTATAGTGTTTAAAATATTGAATTATAAATTGAAAATTATCTGTCAAAAACACTATATGTTTTATGAAACTACAAAAATTTCTAAGAAAAATCATCAAGATAAAAACAAAATTTTAACGATTGAAAATCTAAACAACAGCAAATCTAAATAAAAAAGCCATCGTAAATATATTGCTAAAAAATTTAAATCGTAGACCTTTCAATTACATATTATAAATACTAGAAACATAACTGTAATTAATATGAACTTAATTTGAAATTTTATTATAAACTGAATGCTATGATAACAATTATCACAATATGGATTACGTTAGTTATCATTTTACAGCGTTAGCGTTACAGAATGATTATAACTATTCTAAAATAATAACTATTCTAAGTATCTTTTACTTTTGTTTATGAACGAAGAAAGAAAGAATTAGTTTGTTTAATGTTAACAGTGAGACAAGAAAGTTGTATAATTTTTACATACATAAAATCAATCAACTAATAACAACAACGGAAAACAAAATTCAATATTCCAATATATATAAAACAAAAAAACAGTAACAATATATATAGATATATTAATATATATTAATATTAATATTAATTTATAATTACTGCAAATTTATTAAAATAAAATTTTAAATTCAAAAGCAATTTGAAATTCTGATTAACAGTGACAATATTAATTATTTCGATTATAGAAGTTTAAAAAAAATTTAAAAATTTGGAACCCTATACGACAAACAAATAAAACAGTTTTTCAGAAAATAAAATCACTTTTTTCTCGACGCTTTGAACGTGAATCTGATACGCCTGTACATCAGGTTTCTCCTTAAGATATAAAGTATTGTTGTGTAGTTAAGTGTTATAAAATTTCACGTGTTGATTATGTGCATTAATTACTTGATTCAGTGAACAAATTTATTAAATTATTTTATTATAATTAGTACAAGGTTTTCCACCTTTTATACGGGGAACAAAAATAATGAAATAGAAATACATCAAAATAAAATTAAACACAAAAATCAGATAATTAGGTTTACAATATATAATATACAACATTCTACATACAATAATTAAATAAGCAAAAGCCAGTAAAAAACTCTGAGGGTCCGATGCTGTAATAGTAAAGAAAAGTATTGTTTTTAAGTACAATTTTTACATAAACCAAAAAAAAAAACTACAACAAAAGCAATAATAATAACAACTACCCGATAAAAGTAGAAAATTAAGTATACAAAAAAAATAATATGAAAATGTTGAACAAATACAAAAATATGAAAAATTGTCGATTTATCACAAAGAGAACATTTAATATTATTAAATCTCTTAAGATAAATTTGTAATTTTTTAATTAATTTAATTAATTTTTATTTTTTAATGAAATTAAAACTAAAATTTTGATTTAGATAGCTTTTAGTTATAAAACTCATTTCCATTGGCCGATACCAAAAAACAAATTGTCATTCGAGCTACTTATATTTCTAAACATCTAATAAAAGTTATCAGAAATGCGCAACATTAAATCTGACAAATTAAGATCACCATCAATCCATTCAATATAAGGAACTGTAATGATGAAGCATTTTTTTCATTCCAGAATGCCAATAAGTTTGATTGTTAAAAAAGAAAAGATCTAAAAGCTTTAACCAGAGACGATTCAGACTCAAATCCGTTCAGCCATATCAACATTATTTTAATAATATCAAAATTTATAGGATATTTACCAAATTCTAAATCTATAAAATAATAGGGAACCCAACAACCCAAACTATAAGAATGTAATAAAGTTTCATTGAATAAATTCATACTTCATGTTTCAATCAAAAAATCATAACTCCTTATCATACGAAACTAGTAAAAACAACTGATATTCATATAAAAGATTCTTTCTCAATTTAGTCAATCTACCTTTCACGGAAATCTAAATAATTTTAAACGACAGAGGTTCTGCCTTATTCGTGAGAAAATAGAGATTTTTAATAAATCTACCATCTAAATTAAGTAATACGCTTGATGTTTTAATTCGTTAACCGCCTCCACACTACTACTTATATGAAAAAAAAACAATTTTCTCTAAAGGAACTTATACCACCTCTCCTAAAACCCACAAATTTTTATTTGTCCAAATCAACTCCTAAATGCATATTACAAAAAACAGTCTCCAAAACATTTATTAAACTCTGTAGGTTCAAAACAGAATCAACAACTAACACAGTGCCATTGGAATAGACCGAAATTTTAACTATAACTTCCTCAAAGTAAAATCCAGAAGTCATAGAGTCATTAATATGACTGATTAGATCATTTAGTAAAAAATAAAAAGCAAGAGCTGTGGACACAAACCTGACAGAAATGTTGTACAAAAATTCCGTTTTCCCACGTACAAAGAAAATCATATCATGAAATTAAACAACTAACGAATTTATAGCTTAATCTTCCATAACTAGCACCACTAAACATTTCTGTTCAAAGAGAGCAGAATGCAGATTCACAAAGAAAGAATAAACTTTACCATGCTCAATATAAGCTTCTGATCTGTATTATCAATTAATTTGCAATAAATAACTACGAACTTCATTGTCCTTTTCGGTTATAATTACAGATTCATAACAGCACAAAATTCATCAGCGCGAAATTTC